GAAATTTGCTAGAAAAAGGTCATCCTGAGCAAAGTAACCCAGAACCAGCAAGACAAACATGGTATGTACTCACTTATAAGTGGATATTAGTATTAAAGTAAAGGATAACCATACTACAATCCACAGACCCAGAGAGGCTAAGCAACAAGGAGGTCTCAAGGGAAGATGCATGGATCTTTGTGGGAAGGAGAAATAGATATTTTGGGTGGACAGAGGGATAGGAACAGGAGGGGTTAGGTGAAAAGAGGATGGAGGGAGAGAGTACTGGGAGAGACAGCTGGAATTGGGGGAGCAATTCAGGGGCAAGGTAGAAACCTGGTGCAATGGAAACTCCCAGGAATAGATTAGGGTGACCCTAGATAAGACTCCCAGTAGTGGGAGATACAGAACCTGAACTGGCCATCTCCTACAACCAGGCAAGACTTCTGGTGGAGGGTTTGGGACACCAACCCAGTTACAAAACCTTTGACCAACGATCTGTCCTACCTGCACGAGATGCTGGGGTAAAGGTGGCACAGAAATTGTGGGATTGGCTAACCAACGACTAGTTGATCTTTAGACCCGTGCCATTAAAGGGAGTCCACCCCTGACACTGACTGGAAGGCCAGAAACCAGAGACCAGATGACCTAGAGACCTAGAATAGAACCAAACACAACTGGCAAAAAAAAGTCAATGAAATGATGCCTAATGATATTCTGTTATACTTATTGATTGGTGCCTGACCCAGTTATCATCAGAGAGGCTTTATCCAGCAATTGATGGAAACAGATGCAGAGATCCACAGCCAAACATTAGGTGGAGTTTGGGGAATCCTGCTGAAAAGAAGAAGGAAAGATTATAGGAGCCAAAGGGGTCAAGTATATCACAAGAAAACCCACAGAACAACAAACCTGGACTCACAGGGGTTCACTGAGCCTGAACCAACAATCAGGGAGGCTGCATGGGTCTAACCTAGGTCCTCTGTACATATTTTATAGTTGTGTAGCATGGTGTTCTTATGAGACTCCTAACAGAGGGAGTGGGAGCTGTTTCTGAAACTTTTTCCTGCTTTTGGGACCCTTGTCCTCCTATTTGGTTGCCTTGTATAGTCTTAATATGAGGAGAGTTGCTTAATCTTATTGCAACTTGATATGTTATGTTTGGTTGATATCCCTGGAAGGCCTGCTCTTTTTCTTAAGGGAAATGGAGGAGGAATGGATGGGGTGGAAGAAGGGGGGGGGAATGGAAAAGGTGGGGGTGGAGGCAGAGAGGGAAAACTTCTGTCCGAATGTAATATATGAGTAAATTAATAAAAAATACAAAAATGAACACAAAAGAGCACACTGTAACTTAAGTAAGTATATTAGGTCAGTGAAGAATGCTCCTTTTTTTTCTTTTAGAATGCACTCCTCCTAGCAGAACTGCCCCCCTTTCTTTTCTTTTTGAGACAGTGTCTCACCATGTAGCCTACTCCTAGCCTACTCCTACTCATAGTCAGTTGGCTATGTTGACCACAATGGCCTCAGATTTCCTACATTTATCCTGTTTCTGCCTCTGGAATGCTAACTGATCTCTGTCTGACTCCCAGAACCCACATGATGGAAAGAGAAAAACAACCCTACAGATGCCCTTCCCTTACCACAGTACACACACACACACACACACACATGCACACGCACACGCACACACACACACCACACAGAGAGACAGACAGACAGAGAGACAGAGAGAGAGATTAAAAAGTAAAGATTGTGAATCTGGTGCTAAATGGTTTGATAAAGTAGTGGAAATCTATATAGGTGTACTGGCTATGAACAACCAGGAGTCCTTGAGAGAAGTGTTCCCTGACAGGGAAGTGGATGGGACAATACTTAACATAGAAAGAACATAATGCAGTTAAAGGCAGAAAGTGTAGGCTGAGAGTTGTAGGCACGAAGACTGTGGGTTGAGGAAAAATATGGATGGAAGACAGGTTAGATGTCCAGCCTCAAGATCCTGAGACATTGCAGAAAGCTATTCTAGAATGACCAGAGACCTGAGTTTTTAAACATCAGGGCTCAGTTTCTGAAGGGACCAAGCTTCTATCTCCGCCCTGTCTCCCGCTTGTGGAACTGGCTGTCTGCCAAATGGTCAGCTAGAGAGCGGGAGGAGGGGATGGTAAAACTGTGCAGGTACCACTAGGCTTCTTCTACAAAGGAAACACTCCTTAACCTGGAACCATGACTTTTCCCGGGCACAGCAGGCCACGCCTCTACCCCTCCCCCTCAACCCGCTGAGCCGTAGCGGCTCTCCGTTCCCAAGACTGTGGTCCCACCCAGTAGGCGGCTCTGTATCGGCCAATCAGCGAGCGCATGTGCAAAAGGCACTAAAACGCCCTCTTCCGGTGGCGAGACTGTTGCAAGATGGCTGCGGCGTGTCGGAGCGTGAAGGTAGACTGCTGTGTGCCTCTAACGTTTGTTTTTATGCAAGCCAGAACTGCGCGGGCAGGAACTAGAGAGGAGGGATCAGTGCCTGGAGAAAAGGGTCCTGCTTATTCGTGCCTGGTTTTGCAGCGGTTGGGTTTTGGGCTCAAAAGGTGAACATTAGCGTTCAACTGTGTATGTGCGGAGTCACAAGAAAAACCATGCCTAGGATGAGACACGACCCCCTCCCCTCAGGTTTCATCGGTGAAGAGAGGAAGCATTTAGGGCACTGACCGTCTCCACGTCTTCGCAGAATTGTCGAACTGGCAAATGAAAGGGTGGAGGGTGCTCTGGACAGTAGCAGTTCACCTTGTCCCTCTTCACAGGGCCTGGTAGCAATAATAACTGGAGGAACCTCGGGCCTTGGCCTGGCCACAGCCGAAAGACTGGTGGGACAAGGGGCCAGAGCTGTTCTCCTGGACCTGCCTAACACAGGGGGTGAAGCCCAAGCCAAGAAGTTAGGAGACAGCTGCATGTTTGCCCCAGCCAACGTGAGTCCTGATTCTCCCAGAGTGTGCTTGAGGAAACTTCGGGTGTGGGGGAGGCTTCCTTCTTAAAGAACAGTGTGTCTGGGGTTAGTCAGATGGCTTAGTGGATAAAGGTGCTTGATGCTCTCCATATCAACCTGAGTTTGATCCCCAGGGCCAACATGATACGAGGAAAGAGCTAACTAACCTCCACACATGAAAACATGCTCGCACACACATACAAGTACATGTAACGGAGGTAAATCCATCTCCTTTTATCTTTTGACCTGCACCCTTGAGCAGTGTGTAAGCACCTGCAGTAGGAATGCTAAAGCTGGGGCTCAGCATAATGGGAATGACGATTGGACACACTGGGAGTTTCTGGAGAAAATTCGTACGAGTTGGAATGCATATCTTGCTCAGTGATTTTACATTTAAAGAATTGAAAAACTTGAACTCAGCAGGTAGGGATTTTCAAAATGCTAGTTCATGCTCCTGTAATTCTCAAAACAGGATTGTATTGGAATACAGCTCAGTAGTACAATTCTTGCCTATCTAGTGTGTGTGTGTGTGTGTGTGTGTGTGTGTTTTGGGGGGGCATAGGCTTAATCATCAGTACTTTCAAAAGAGAAAAAACAAAACAGGGTTGTATAGTACCCTAATCTATATCAACTAAGAATAACCAGGGTAATGTGAATCGAGTACAGACTTAAATGTTTTGTAATACTTTTTTATAGTATTTACCATTTTCGCTTTCACCCCATTTGTCACCTGTTTTTACTACAACTCTTTCTTGGCCTCCCTTTTGTTCACACAGATCTGTTCCCACCTAAGAACTGGGCCTTCTCTCCTTTCAAAGTTTAGGGGAGTGTGTATGCTAGGAAATGAATAACTTTCCTTCATTTCTTCCTTTCAAGGTGACCTCTGAGAAGGAAGTACAAGCAGCTTTGACGCTAACAAAAGAAAAGTTTGGCCGTGTAGATGTGGCTGTTAACTGCGCAGGTATTGCTGTGGCCAATAAGACATACAACCAAAAGAAGAAACAGGTCCATAGCTTGGAGGACTTCCAGCGGGTTCTCAATGTAAGGCCTTGGCAGATCTCAAGGGATAGGAATAAGGGTTGTGTGTGGCTGTGGGTACTCCCAAAGCTTATAAAGAATCAAAAGGCAGCCTCTGCCTTAGATCCTACATCCTGGTTCCGTCCATCCTCCAGGTGAATCTCGTAGGCACTTTCAATGTGATCCGCCTAGTTGCTAGTGAGATGGTCCAAAATGACCCAGACCAGGGAGGCCAACGTGGAGTTATCATTAACACTGCCAGTGTGGCTGCCTTTGAAGGCCAGGTATGTGGACATGGCAAAGCTCTTAGCTTGAATGACTTTTGAGGCTCTCCCACATATGATCTCTACTCTGAGTTTTTTCCAGGTTGGACAAGCTGCATACTCTGCATCCAAAGGGGGCATAGTGGGCATGACACTCCCCATTGCTCGTGATCTGGCTCCCGTTGGCATCCGTGTGATGACAATTGCTCCAGGTAGACATTTCTCTTCTCTTTTGCCATACCTAGAATTGGGTGGGATCTGTAGGCAGATCAGAGAAGGGATCCGCTACATAAACATAGCAAGCTTAGCATCAAAGTGAGGAAGAACCAAGGAGCTATGAAAATAAGAACAAACCTTTGATTCTGGTGCTCTTGTCTAGGTTTGTTTGCCACCCCACTGCTTACCACCCTTCCAGAGAAAGTGCGCAACTTCTTGGCCACCCAGGTACCCTTTCCCAGCCGACTAGGTGACCCCACTGAATACGCTCATCTGGTACAGACCATAATCGAGAACCCATTCTTGAATGGAGAGATCATCCGGCTGGATGGGGCCATTCGAATGCAGCCTTAAAGGGTGAAGGCAGGAAAAACATTGGCTCCTTTCCAGCTTGAAGGAAATCTAGCAGCCATTTTGTAACTCTGTTCCAGTCACCCTCTGTGCCTAATAAATTCTCAAACTTACAGGTTGTGAGCACTCTTGTGTGCTAGGGGAACTAACATGGGGAGGAAAGTGAAGGCTTTGAGGTTGGATACATAAGCACCCCAGTGTGCAGTGGGAAAGGTGGTATCTCACACTTTTTGTATACGGTCACAACACTCGTTCATTGCAGTGAATGACTTTTATTACGTTGGGTAGAAAGGTTTGGGCTTAGTTACCTCCTGCTCGGGAGAGACTAGAGTGGGGATATGTAGCATTTCTTTCTGACTGCCAGAAACTTGTGAAACTGACAGGTGAGGATGGATGTGACCATCCTTAGTTCAGCGGCTGCTGTTGTTGAACTGTAGGTAATAATGGTTGGAAGGTTGATTGGTGTAGATGAGTGAATTCAGATAATTTTGCCTGTAAAAATTGAAAGGCCTCAGGTGATATGTTTTTCTTCTCCCTAGTCTTTGTCATTCCTCCCCACCCTAACCCTGGCCTTCTTCCCCATTGCTATACTTTAGAACTCACCGGGCTTGCTGTTCCTTAGCTAACTCCTGGTTGAAGGAGCCTAGCCCCCTTCGAAATTCCGCACACAATTCCTTCTCCTGTTGTTCCAGCTCCAGTGCTGCTTCAGCCAAGCGTTTGGTTTGTTTTCCCCACTCAGCTTCCAAGGACTTTTCGGCTTGGCGTTGTTCCTTTTTCTCCTGCCTTTGTGCTTCTTGGGTTTTCCTGATGGCAGCTCGCTGCTCTGCAGTCATGCCCTTCCAGCAATAGGGCAGGACCCGGTGAGGAGCCTGGGGGCGTTGGGCAGCTTTAGGATTCTCAGTCAGTAGATCACTGCTGATTTGTTTCTTGATCTCCCTGAGGTTGGCCACCTGTTGCTGCTGCTGTTCACGGTGCTGCTGCAGGGCCTGCTTAGCTGCCTGGTAGGACCCCCAAATGGAAGCAAATGTAAATCTTAGGAAACTCACTTGAAAGAGTGGGGAAAATACAGCCCTACTCATCTCAGAGAGAAGGGAGAGACATAACCTGGATTTTTTTTTTTTTTAATGAACCTAAGGGAGTGATGGAGGGGAGAGAATGGCCAGGGAATTTCTCTGCACTTAGGAAGGCCTTCTTAGTTTGAGAGGTCGGGGATGAATGGTCAATACCTGTTGTTAAGTCGACCTGTATCTGGAGGTAGGGAGAGAGGTGACTTACACTTTCATAGGATCTTAGGTGGAAGGGGGTCCTTGGATAGATGAGAATGCTTGTGCTGGTTTGAAATGGGGTATGAGGAGGAAGATGTGGCTAAAGTTCCCCACGACATTGTTCAGGAACTACACTGGATGGTTCAGAGCATACCTGGGCTTTGTTGGCATTGGCCATAGCAGTCCTTATAGCTGCTCGACAGGACTCTTCCAGCCTGGCCATTTCAGCAGCTCGTGTGTCCACAGCAAGGCGCAGCTGGTTACTAAGCAGAGCTACATGGAGAAATACAGCCAGGGCACTATATTTCCCTGTACTAGTCTCCATTCACTCACTAGCTATTGGTTTGACATACTTTGTATTTATGTGTGTATATTTGAGTTTCAGAGTTCCAGTGATATGGAAGGGATCAAGGATAGCTAAAGCACAACAGCTTGGGTGACAGTGTAGCTCTGCTTCCTTTGAGCAGTGTGGTTTTAAGTAAATAATTTCATTTCTTTAAGCCTCAGTCTTAAGGTTATTTGTTGGGTTCAAAAGGTACCACAGAATCAGATCCCGTCTCAAAGAACTCCCTGCCTAGTCCAATGTGGTGGTGTATGTCTATAATTCCAGCTCTAGGGAGATGGAGGCAAGTTCGAAGTCAGTCTGTATTCCATGAGACCCAGTCGCAACACCTACCACCAGAAAAACAAAAACAAAAAAACAAACTTCCCTCTCTGGTGGGAGAGACAGATCAAATAGATAATTAGACTATAACCTGGTGAGACCAAAGGCAGAGCTGTATATAAGCACAGTAACAGTTTCAGATGCTGAAGAAATGGCTCAGTGGTAGGAATATGTGCTTAGAATATATGAAGCCCTGGGTTCTAGCCATAGTACCAAAACAATGACTACTACTACTACTGTCGAAGTACAGAGATCAAGAGAAAAATGGCATGTCAGCCGTGGCCACATCATAAGCAAAGCTACTAATTTTTTTCCTCCAATCAAGCCATACACTGGCCTCACTGTTCTTAGGCCACGTCAGACACTGGTGGTTGGAACGTGAAGTGTGAGTAGAAAGACATGGTTCTTGCCCTGGAAAGATTTTCTCTAGTGTAAAAGGAAGATGTGGCCACAAACTATCATAGTAATGGTTGCTATTCTATGTGATGTGGATTATAGTCCCTATTTTAAGGATGAAGAAACTGAGCTCCTGAATACTGTGTTCAGGAGGCTGAGGTGAGTTCAAGCCCAGCCTGGGCTGCATGTACGTAGCAAGACACTGTCTCATGAAACAGAAAGAAAAACAGTTAACCTAAAGCAGAAAGTTAAGTAGAACTGTAAAATGCTTCCCCCAGGTAAGTGCCAAGAAAGCATGAATAATGGCTTCAGTATCTGTTGCTGAAGGAAGTCAGGGCTTGTATAGACTAACCTTTCTGCTTTAGCTGTGTGGGTAAACTACCTCCTCATGCAGTGTTGTCTCCAGATCAGATGAAGTCCCTACTATGCTATTTACCTGCTCGTGCCTCCTCTTCTCTGGCTGCCTGTTTCTCCCGTAGCTGTTTCTCCAGGTTGTATCTGAGCTGTTCCTGCTGTATTCTTAAGCATGAGGCCCTCTGCAGGGCCTCTCCAGAAAAGTATTGCATGCTGGCTGGGCCAAAATATGCTTCATTATCAAAATAAGGGACTGGAACCTCCGGGCGTTGGTTTGGGTTCCAGGAGTCAAATTCATGTCCATTCTTGAATTGCTGCCTTTGCTCCCGAAAATCCCGTACTTTCTTGGACAATCGGTATGCTCGCTCTGCCTCTTCCTTTTCTATCATCTGTGCTACCAGATTATACTGAGCATGCTTGGTACCTAGGAGGGATTGACAAGACATGAAGATACCCAGAACAGAGCCCAGTTAACCTCTGTCCCTACGCCTCTGCTCCCAAGGTCATCTGGTTTGTCTTATCACCCCTCAGAGACTCAGGCTCTATTCAGAGGCAGACCTGCCCAACTTCAGCCCATTCTCTATGGTTTATACCTTTGTTTTGCCCCAGCCTTGAGTGTTTACCATAAGCCACATCTTTGCTTCGCTCTGTTGCCTCCCGGAGCTTTCGTTCCTCCACCTGGTAGTTCAAGGCTTCCACATCCACCTGGACTTCAAAGAAAGGAGCTAAATCAGAGTGGGGTCTCAGCATCATACATTGAGTGTGCCAACAGACACTGTTTAGAAATGGTTCCCTTACAAAGTCCCTCTATAGCTCTTCAGGACATACTGGGTAAAGCTCTAACCCCTGAGAAAAGCTTGTAAACACCTCTGGTCTAGCAGTTTCTTCTTCCTATTATCTCTGTGTCTCCTTTTCCTGCCTCCTCTCACATTAATTTTAGGAACTGTACTTCAAGTTTTTTGCTCGTCTTAAACTCACAGCCTTTGCTCCAACTGTTGCCTCCCCATGAAATAGACTTTCCTTCCTTTACCCAAGCTTCACTTTACCCTTTAAGACTTGTTCGGAAGGTTCAACCCCCAGAATCTAGAACCACACTGTATTGACAATGGCCACCTTGTATTGCCTGGCTACACTGTACTGACAATAGCCTTTCTAGTGTTGCCTCCACTGTGAGCTATTCCAGGGGAGAAGATAGGCCTTGGCTATCATTGTATTCCCCACAGTTCAACATAGTACTTAGTACATAGCAAGTCCGAGGGACATTCTTGCAACTAAGATCTCAGTCAGACCTCTTAAACTTCAGTTTGCTTGTGGTCAGGTAGTATGCTCTGATTTTTCAAAGTTGACATCTCAATGCTTTTTTTTTTTTGTCTCACTTCACAGAGGAGGATAATGTAGGTTATGTGTCATAATGCCATATACATATTAGCAAACCTGGCTTTGAACACAAGTATGGTGTCTTCTCTAGGTCCTTTCTCTACCCATGCACTCAGCAATCCTTTTTTGTTTGTTTCATAAAGCTATCAGTGTTTTCTCTTTCATTATAATTCATTTAAAACATTTCAAAATAGTATGAAAGGGCATATAGTTTGAGGAAGAATAAACATCCCTTCAGCCTCTATTCCTCAGCTTGGTTCTGTGAAGGTTTTATAGCCAACATGGTCTGGTAAGATGGTTCAGTGGTTCAGGCCTGAAAACAGCTTGACACCAGAGAGCCACATGGTGGAAAAGAGTTGTCTTTTGACCTCCACATTCACACTGTAGCATGCATGCACTGTGGTACCACATGACCCTCCTAAATAAATAAAAATACATAAAATATTGTCAGCTTGATAGCATCTAGAATCACTTAGGATTGAAACCTCTGGACATGTCTACTTTAAGTGGGAAAACCTCCCCTAACTGTGGGCAGTGCCATACCATGAACTAGGGTCTTGGACTGAATAAAAAAGAGAAAGTGAACTGAATTCTGTTTGCTAATTGGGTGCAAAGTGACCAGCCACCTCCTATTACTCCTCTCCAATAATGGACTATATGCTCAAACTGAGCCAAAAGAAAAAGAAAAGAAACCCTTCCTTCCTTGTGTTTGTTAGATATTTTGTCTGTTAACAAGAAAAGTAACCAATATAACAATATCATATTTAGCCTTGCAGAAATACCTTAGGTTTATGTGATATCAAATATGTTTTACACCCACATTGTTTCTCAAGAACCAGAGTCCAAGAGCTGACCAGAGAAGAGCCAGCTGTCTCTTCACAATTCCATCTCTCTTCGGAAGCCCTGCCCAGGCATATGAGCTTGGTTCCCTAGCCCCTTCCTTTCCAGTCCTACAGCCTGCTTGAATCCAGAAGGGTTATAATGCACTGCCACATTCCCTTCTAGGCATAATGGGGAAGCAACCCAGTCTTGTAAAGTGATTTCTATTACCCACTCACCCCCATGACTCGGTTCCGCACATTGAAGAATCGACGTTGTCGTTCCCTTTCTCGATTTCTTCTAGCCTCAATGGCTGCCATTTCCTTGGGATCTGCCGAGAGGTCTAACTTATACATCTGGAGCAATGAGAAGTGGAATGGCTCATTTATGCTGACTGTCCCTTGCTATACCATACCTCCAGTTCTTTCTCCCTTATAACATGTCACTAGCTATGATCCAGATTACTTTGTGATATTTCACATCTGTATCTTCAATCTGCTGTCTCTACACCAAGTCAAGCTTCAGTCTAATGTCAGGCAATATTCCCAGAATCTTTGATGGCCTCTGTTACTCCAGTGTTAATCCTCTGCCCTGGCTACCATGGGGATCTTTCTAAAAGCAAGTCTTGACCATTGCACTGCTGAGGTTAAAGCCTTTGCAAGCAGAGAAAAACAGACTGCAGAATGCTCAGCCCTAAATGGGACCTCTTTTTCACACCCTCTCCTCCGAAGGTTCAAGTGATCATTGCAGAAGAAGGGTAGAAAGACTTGTCAGAGGTGGTGGATGAATACAGGGAAATAGTATCTTCCAGACATAGCAGGGGCAGCTACACATAAGAACTCACAGAGATTTTGACAGCAGGCACAAACTTGTGAAAGCTCAAGCCAGACCATGCAGCATGCAGAGACAAAGGCAGGGAACACAAAGTCCTACCCGTAGTGAAAGAGCTGTTAGCAACTGATAGCTGTTGGGAGGGGAGAGTTAGTTTTCTTTACGAGTATAGAGCCCCCTTTTTTATTTTTGTTTTTCATGACAGGGTTTCTCTGTGTAGTTTGTTGTCCAGGCTGACCTTGAATTTAGAGATCTCTCTGCCTCTGCTTCCTGATTGCTGGGATTAAAGCTGTGTGCCACTATGCTCTGGAAGTTCACTCTTGAGTTGACCATGTTCTAGCAGAAGGCCACAAATCAAATATATTGTCAGCACAAATTGGACTTGATGAGTGGAAAAAAAAAGAACACATAAAGTTGGGTGGGAAGGGAAAGAGGGCTAAATCTGGGAAGGGTTGGGGGAGGTGAATATGATCAAAACACAATGTACAAAATTCTCAAAGAACTAATAAAATAAAAAAGTCTTTGTAAGCAGATTTACAGCAAATGTCTTCCTAGTGTTTAAAAGCTAAGGTCCAACTCCCTTACAACTCAAAAGGTCAGGGTAGGATGACCATGAGTTAGAGGCCAGTCTAAGCTACATAGCAAGACTGTAATCTAAAACAAGGAAACTTTAAAAAATGTTATTCATAGATTCTTATGGATACAGTATATAACTTACAGAGAGAACCATCATAGATTTTGCCTTGTGGGGAGTAGTTTGAAAAGAGACAAGACACTTCAATGGGACCAATTATTTCTCTATGTTGAGGTTTTATATATATATGTGTGTGTGTGTGTATATATATATGTATATATATGTATACATATACACACACACACATATATATATATATAAATAAATATAAAACAGGATTTCACTGTGTCACTCAGACTCGCTTGAAGTTGTAATACTTTACCAGTCTTTCACATACTAAGCTTTTAACTATACCGACTTTGAGTTGGTTCATTGCTTTCTCAGGCTTCCAAACTTACGTATGGGAGATTATATATATATATATATATATATATATATATATATATATATATATATA